TATAAATTATATTTTTTATTTAAAATAAATAATTTATATTGTAATACAATATTATTTTTAATTATTGATAATCACCGTTATATTAACCAAAAATTTATCTCGTACAAAACTGTTTTTAAGTGATTATTCTTTAATGGAAAATTTTTTAAGATTCTTTTATTAAATCGTAACATAACTTATTAAATTAATATATTAAGAAAAATTGTAAATAACTCTTACAAGTGCCCAGGATAAGGCAGCTTACCACTAAACATGAAGACAACGTGAATGGAGCAAACTAGTTGCATAACTTTTATTTATTTAAGGCCTGCATATCCTTTAATATTATTATAAGATAAGATATATATATATATAAGGATTCAAATGATATCGGTATACTAAGTATTATATCGTTCAATAATTTTATGTTAAATGTGAATTTTATAAATTCAACTGTTAGATTGAAAGTTCTTTACTCTTAGGTCATATATGCAAAATTTTATATTAATCTAAGATGATTTAATACTTCATTCTTATAAAACAAAATTGACTTAATATATACATTTCAAAATATAATAAAATATGAACACTTTGATTACCTTCAAATGTTCAATTTTAACCAAATATATTTGATATAAATATATAAAGTGATATGAAATTATAATTTAACGATCGAAAAAACTTATTCATTCTTTCTATCAACAAGTGTTGTACTTAAATTGTATCATGCATGTCTTGAAAATAAGACGGTACAACACAATTATTTTATCTAACTTTAACTCAGTATTATTGCTTTGCGCTTTGAGAGAATTGATGGTAAATAAATACTTGGTTAATTGAAGTTTGAAGAGACTTTGTGTTAAAAGAATACTTGATTGTTTGAAACTTAGAGAGATATGTCAAAGAATACTAAGGTTGAGTCAAAGGTAACTTATGAAAGAATACTTGTATTTTTGTAAAATATAGCAAAACTTGATCGGGCTGATCAATAACTGGACGTACTCTCGGTGATTGAGACGAATCAGTATAAAAATACCTTGTGTTATTCTTCTTTGTAACCTAATCCTATATAACTTCTTTTGTCTTGATGCCTAAATAAGAATTGCACATAAATATTCAATGGGCAAAACAATTCAACAAGATGGTAGATTCATATGCAAAACAAGACGCCAAACTTGATTTGAGGATAAATCACATTGAAGGGGGGAGGGAATGATAGGAATGTATCAAGTTCCAACATTTTCAAATATCATTTTCAATCAATGAAAGGCTTAATGACTAGAAAAAAAGTCAAAAATAATATTTTGAAGAGTCTAATGAGCCCAACACCAAATATTAAAGATGTTATAGTAGGTTAGACTTTATTTATAGGTTAAGATAAGCCACAACTCATTTACAAGTAGTAACTTTCTACTAAGACATAAATTCCTACTATCATTTATTTTTCACTAAGAAGCCTAAAATGACTCAAAATTGACCTAGGCAATATGAAAAATCATCTAAACTCATTTAATTAAAATAACATATTAGAATTACATTACTTAATAAAATAGGCTTAAGCAACTTTTAAGCCCATAAATTAAGTAAATTATCCAAATAAAGTTTAGCCTAATGTAGCATCTTTAGTATTTGGTGTTGGGCTCTTCAAATTATTATTTTTAACTTTTGTAGCTCTTTTTATAGTCATTGAGCCTTCCATTGATTGAAAAAGATATTTAAAAATATTAGACCTTATTGATAGATTCATATCATTTAATATTCACATCAGAATTAGAATCATCGTCATTTCTTTTGTAGTGACCCACACCTTGGATATTTATGCATTCTTTCAAATTCATATCGGTCCAGTTTGCAATCATTTTGACATGTATGTATTTTTTTTAAACTCCAAACCCATGGGATACAATACCTTATTCACCTTATAGTTATGATTTGACAATGTGTTACCTTCTAGAAGAATTTCTCTTTCAACAACTCTAATAATTTTATGAAACTTTTATCACTTCATCCATTCCATGCCTTTAGATTAAAACATTTCAATATTATTAACAATCTTGTGAAATTAATGCAGTTTGGATGCATGGTCTTCTTTGAACCATCACATATAAAGTTTCGTACAAATTTTCACGAACTATATCCTCAAGTCAACCTTTTGTGTATAGGTTTAAGTTTCACTTTCGATTGACACACTTGGATTATCAAGCAATATTCACCATGTCATATCCAATGGATATAATAATTATAAAGAAACCCATTACAAAGAAGTCACTCCCTTATATCTTCAAATTTTTAGTTACCTATCATTCAAACAATTAACGGACAAAAATATCTTCCATTACTATCAACAATATTTTGTATTAAAAATTCTATAAATACTTTCACTCCATTCTCATACTATTCACTTATGATGTTGCATTTATCTAACTTCAATCTATAACTATATTTTGTTCTCCATAAAATACATATATACTATACATATCAATTCCATTTTTTCAAACCTTATGCCATTCAAGATGATATATATTTTTTAATACTAGATTAATATGTACAAGTACATTTTATTTTCTTAATTTCTAAAAATATTGTTATAACATTTTGCATTAGTTTCTAAGTACACGAAATAAAAATAGTAAAATTAAAAACCCACCACAATCAAATATTTATTATGAGAATAACATGAAATACAATAAATCAAAATTTTATCAAATTTAAAATAAAACTTAAATTATACATACTAATCAAATATAAAAAAAATACTCATCCGAAACTATTAAATTACACTATTCAATATTCAATAGAAATGAATATATTTTTGAAATTTAAGGACGTTATAATTATTTGATTTAGAAATAATTATTCAACATAATTCACTAGCTGTGGATTTTTAATCCCATTACTTCTTCATATTTTAATTCACCCAAGACTTTCAACAGGTAATAACGGCTATTTCACTAAACTAAAATAATTTAGTAAATCTGGTAAACAAAATAAAGAGCTGAATTTCATTAATCCTTTTTAGAATTTTTAGGTGAAACTAATGAAGCTTAACACCAACTTTTTAAAATATTTTTTAATTAAAAACGTGGTTGAATATAAACTATATTTTTTTTTAAGTTTTCTTATTAAAATTAATTTTTTTTAATAAAAAAACTCTTAAAAGTGCTTTTAATTTTATATCTAAATAAACTCAAAAGTTACAAAAGTAATTTTGAGAATTTCAATACATATTCCAAATTCCAAGACAGAAAATGAAAATGAAAAATTTGTTACTTTTAAAACAAAAGTTCTTTTGAGTATTTTAACTACAATCCAAATATTTTTTTTTCATTGCATTAATTTTTAATTTTTTTATAATTTAATTATGATATATTGATAATATAAAATAATTTTACACGAATTCAATTACCATTCACATAAATGATAGATATATTAGAGGAGAGTTATAATAACATTGTCGTAACTTTTATATATTAAGTATTATACCATTTAATAACTTTATATTAATTGTAAATTTTATAAATTCAACTGTTAGATTGAAAGTTCCCATCACTTTATATGTGTATATTAAATTTTGTTAAAATTAAATAATTATTTAAAAGTAATTAAAGTGTTCATATTTTAATATATTTTAAAATGAATATATTACACTAATTTTGTTTTGTAAAAATAAAATATCAAATCATTTTAAATTAATATAAAATTATATATATATGATTTAAGAGATATGAACCTTCAATTTAACGATTAAATTTATAAAATTTATATTTAATATAAAATTATTAAATAATATAATACTTAATAAAAATTACACTAGTATTATTATAACTCTTTTTAATATATTAATATTTATTATAATTATCTAAAATGTTATTGAAAAATCATAATTTCTGATTAAGTGATTGGATAAATTTTTTTCTTCACACCGACAATATATTACTATAAAACCTTTTTTTTTTTCACCAAAATCCTAAAAGTACAGTGTCTCTTTTCTAATATATTTAAACACAAATATCTTATTCTTATCTATACTCCTACTTTCAACACCAAAAAAAAAAAATACTCCTACTTTTGTTTATGTAAAGTGATTTATTCGCCACCGATCAGAAAAGTGATACCTATATCTTATCATTCTAACTATTACATGCAATAATATAATACAGTTATAATGATTTCATTAGAAATATTTAATATATTTTATTAAATTTTTATTACCTAAAATATAACTATTATACCATTAATTTAGTAATTTTTTATTAAATATTTTATATCTACTTTAAAATTTTAATATTATAAATATATGATTTATTAAACATCAAATATAATAAATAACTTTACAAATATTTAATTATCAACTTTAAAACACTACATAAATTATATATATATAACATTAAAAGAAAGAAAAACACAATCACTTTTTGGTTAATCATAGATCAAGCATCCTTCATCTAAGAGAAAGAGAAACACAGATTTTGGCTTCTAATGAGGGTGTCCGGTTGTTTCATGCGTTATACTATAGCGTAAGAAACCTACATTCATCTGTTTCTTTGCCATTTGTATGTGCATTTCTGTTTCTTCCCCGCCATGACTGCCACGTTAATTCATCTCTCGAGAGCACAGCTGTGCCCCTCTTAATAATGACAGTCAAAGATGCCCCATTTTCAGTAACACCTTCGGTTACAAATTTGGGAAAAAACACACAATTAAGTGTGCCTCTCTCATTCTATTTAATCTCTATCTCTTCAACACTAGGAGTATAGAGTTGTGCTTTCTTTGCTCTAACAACAGAAACATGAATAAGTCTCACTCTGCAGAGAAGAAGGATGCCATGGAGAAGCCACTGACTCCAATGCCTCCTCCTCCTCTCAAACTTGAAAGGAACCCTTCTATGGATTCTGAACCTAAGACCTTGCTTCGAGATGAACTGAACATGGCCAGGGTTTGATGTTTCTCTTTGTTATAAAATATTATATCATTATTATTTTAATTATACTATTTTCTCTCACTGTTCCTTGCTTCAATTTCTCTCTCTCCTTGTGTGTGCTTTTATTTTTCCTTTTCTTTTTAAATATTCTAAAAAATATTTCTGCAGGAGGCTGCCCTCAAAATAATCAATACCCACACCAAAGAAGAAGCCCTGAAAATATTTCTGACGGTAATTGAAATGATTTTTACTATTTTTTTTTATATGATTCACTTTTAATTCAGCAGATTATCAGAACTTTTTATTTGTGGGGTATACATACACTGGATCCTCTTACTCTTTTCAAAACTTTTCTGAATGTAACAGGATCTATGTAATAAGGCACCATGATAGCAAATGAACGAGCTTTAATTAACTTTAGAAGATTGTTATATGCTATAATTATATTTACTTGTCTTTGAAACAGTGAAATGTTTAAAGCTGACATAGTTATTGTTTGGTGGTATTAGGGTTTGGTTCCAGTGGGAACAAGCTCAAAACAGGTGAAGGAGGATGTTGTCGCGTCTGACTGCGATGACGAATGAAGCATTATGCGATCGGAATATGCTGGTGCTGGAAAGCTGAATCTGGTGGAGTGCTTATGTGTGTTTTTACTTTGTTTCAGTTGCTGTGGTTTAAATTATCTCAATTTATCTTCAATGTTATTGTCTTGTAGTTCTGCACTTTGGCAGATTTATATGTGACATAATGTGTTTTGCTTTACCATCTTCTCTATTTAATCTAGTATTTTAAAGTATGTAATGTTCTTCTTCAGTAAGCATTAAAGGCTCTCTTGATCGCCGATGATATCATAAATGCAGCAGTTAATTTGAAAACAATACGAAAGTCAAATTTCAAAAAATTGTGAATTATTATCATTTCCAAGGAAGTGTAATATTACATTGATTAGGAAATTGCAAAGTGCTAGCCCAACTTAAAAAAGATTAGAAGTGAGAGTAAAATGAACACTCAATCAATTTTAGAATTTGGACAGACATAACAGATATACATGCATGATAAAAGATCATTTTAGAAAAATTAAAATAATTTTGTTCACTCCGTGTGTATATATATATATGATTCACCATAATTATATCTTGAATCCAATACAACTAAACACTGGAATAGAGATTAATTAGAAAGGACGACAGTACATTTTTTTTTTCCTAAAGCTAAAATGTAAAGTTTAACAATTTTGTATTATTGAGTTATGTTTGAAAAAACTTTAAATTCTTTAATATAAAACAGTTATTCTTTAGTAATTATTATTTTAATTTATGAAAATAAGAATTGATTTTTATTCAAATTTTAAAATTTTCTAAAATCATATATTCTCAATTAAAATCCCCTCAAAGAAGCACACTTTCATGAATAATACAAAACAATTTTTTTTAACAGAAAACATTATATTTTTTAAACTTTAATTTTCAAAGAAACACATGAAATACGGGAAGAAAGAAAATTTTGATATTACTCTCAATTAACAATATAAATGAGTTAAACCAGGTTGAACATCTAATTTAAATGTTCAATCGTGTGCGTGCATGTGGATATATAATTAACATCAAATAGTTTTTTAATAACTCAATTTATTTACATTTATATTATCAAGTTAAAGTAACATCCTTTATGTTTCTTTTATTAGTATTATGTTTGATTTTAATCTCTTATATTATTCAATTATTTTCACTTCCTTATTTCAGTTTTTATAAAATTACAAATTTTGATATAATTAAATTATTTTTAAATCAGAATATTTTTGATAATATCAGAGAAAAACTTAATCTTGATTTTTATTTTTTAACTTCAGACCGAAGTAATCAAATAAAAAAAAAAGAAAATAGAAAAAGCAATTTACCTTTTGTCTTTTGTTATGATGAAAGTAGTATCGACAAACCATATTAGCCCAGAAACGCTCAAGTTTGTTTCATCGTGTCAGATGAAATTTGACTTGTATTAGTATAATCGTTTCACACATTTCATATAATCGAAAATGGTGTTGGAATACACAACTTAGTTACACAGACAGATCGGTGGACCTGCAAAAGTCCAATATTTTTTTTAAGATACTGACCTGGCTTTAAGCGCAAGCTTACATGCAAAGCAGGTGCAATGTGAACAACACTGCATAATCTGCGTGAGGCTTTAACAGCTAAGCTTGAGTAGTTTTCTGATATTCAGGGGGGCCAAAAGAAGGTTACCATATGACAAAGTACACACCAATGAGACACCACCAGTGACGGTTACTTTTGACTTCAATAGACAAGAGTGTGTTTTCTGTGTTTACCGAGGTTCTACACGTCACCGCTCCAGATCAACCTTCTTCCGTTTTGCGAAAATCACGAGGTTCTGAAAATGTACCCCACTAAATAATAAATAATGGTAGAAATTACAAAAAATACATATATACTTTACCGGACACTAGGCTTAGAGTGTGGCTCATTTTTACATGCTACAATAACGTTCATATTTCAAGTTACCATGCGTCCTTATGAAACTGATATTCATGCGCGTAGAGTTCACCGGGGAGGTTCTATTATGATAAAGTGATTTTTCTATGCCAAATATGCGTTAGAATTGTTTGTTTCCCAAATGAAGCTAGCTGGCACAATCTCTCTCTATATATGCATGGTTTCCCCATCCTATATAGTTCTCTATATTTATAGTACCATGTTGTCTCACATTTTCTCTATAGAACACTAAAATGTTAAGTATAAATATTTACTAAAAGAAATTCATCAATGGCGTTTAGTAGAAGACCAGCAAGGTTTAAAAGGCCAGATTTCATGCAGACAGAACCAATTAGTCAAGAAAAGCTGGAAATGTTAAGGGTAATGATGTGAATTGTGATAAAGTTTGATATCAATAATTTCTGTAATAAATTAAATTTCTAGTGTATTTCTTTTTTGTTGGCGATGATTCGTAGGCTGCTGCTGCTCGTGTTTATATTAATGAGAAAATTCCTGCAAAAGAATCCTTAGTTAGTGTTTCGGTAAGTAAACATGAATTTTTTTTTTTTTTAATTGGAGAAGTTAAAGTAGAATATATGTTTGAATTTTTTAAGTTTAAAAATGGTTTTAGGTACAGCAAGTGGATACCATTGATACCGTAAATGCGAATGTGGAGAAAAAACAAGATCATGACAATGGAGTGCAGCTTCTCGCAACAGTTGCTTCTGAATTTCACAGTTTAGAATGGTGTGGAAAAAAAAAGAGGAGTTCGTTGTCAGGAAGAAAGCAAACGCGTTGAGTTATCCCTGATTTTGATGATTAAAATTAAGTTGTACTAAAAAAAGCTATAGTAGTTGATATATATTTGACTCAACCAATAAATAAGAAATGTATAAAAAAACTTTAATTTATTTGATGTGATAGACGTTTTTTAATTTATATAAACAAAATAAATAATTAAGCATCTTATCATTTTTAAATTTAAATAAAATAACATACTAACTTTTGCTATAATTAATTTTTAGTTTTTGACACCATAATTTGTATATTTACTCTTAATATTTACTTTTTGAGGAAATTGAGGATGTTAATATATGGTGTAGGGTACTAAAATTAAAATACAGAGGAATAATTGAATGTGTTGATGAGTAGAGGTCTTTAGGAAGGAGTTAGTGTACTGTTGAAGAGACGTATGAAAGATTTGTCAAATGAATGATCATGAAAATTGCTTTGATAAAAATAGTGTAAAAAATTGAAAATGAAAAAAAGGATTATATTTAATTTGGGATGAGAAACGGGATGGGGAGAGAAAGTTTGAGAACAAAATATCGTAGACTATTTAAATTTATAACAATAGATATGTATGGTGGGAAATACTGGAAAATGGTTAGGGACAGATAGGAATGATAGTTAAGTTGGAAAAGAGGTTGATTTGAATGAAAGTAGTTGATAATAGAGAAAACCATGAGTTAAATTCAGTAAGACTACTACTTGGATCAGGAGATCGATGAAAGTTACATGAACAAATTAAGGAACACTATTGACACATAATTTTCTAGATGCTTTTAGGTACACATAGGAACTAAACTCATATCTTTTGCATAAAGGGTGTTACTTGAGAAAATTCAATAACGAGTTTAATGCTGCAAATTTATTGAACTTTATAAAATTTAGAAATTGATCATGGTCATTTTGATAAATTAGAATATTTCTTAGTTGAAAATTAAAAATTAATCATTAATACATTGAGATTTACTTAAGAGATTTATTTTTTTTAATAAATATTTTTTATACATATAAATAAATAATTAAAATTTTAATCATATATTTAAATAAAATTATATATTAACTATATAATTTTATTGACGGTCATAATTAAGTGTTAAGGTGAAGGAGTTTTTATTTTTTAAATATGAATGATTAGAAAATTCAATGCATAACTTTAAAGTTATATAAAAAATATGTATTTTGTACATAAGTTTAAATATGCTAATATTTCTTATTAATATATTTTTTCTTTTTCTGTAAAAAACTATCATATTTACATCTCTAATTCCCTCTTTTTTTAATCCCAATCTATGTGTCATATAACATTGGAGTCTTTTTCCTTTCCTTTCCTCTTCACATATGTATATATCTTTTTAAGAGTGAAAAAAATATTTTTTCTATTATTTTAAATTTGCATGTCTAATGCCTTATGTTTTCTAATGAGAAATAAATTAAGAAAATGATATTGAAACATTTATCATATTTAGAAAAAGGCTGTTTTTTTATATATAAAATATAACTTATTTAAAATTATCTTATATAATCACTTAAATAAAGTTTATAAAATAATTTATATAATAATACCATGTTATGTTTTTAGCTTGTAAAGCTACTTAATCACCATCAGTGAGTTGGCATAAGTGGTAAATAATCAGAATGAACTTTCATCTTTCTTTAGGATGTACATTTTATTTTATTTTTTTTTCTTCTCTTTTCCTGTAAGTATCTCGTTCAGTGGTAACGACACTCTTTAAAAAAAAATTCTTAAGGCCTAGACTTTAAAAAAAATTATTTTAAATGGTCAATTATAACGCAATATAACGACTTATAGATTAAACATATTATTTTTTTTTATATTAACAGAAGATTTTTATTTGTAACTTGAGCACAAGAAGTGTCATATAAATGCTAAATACGAAATCTGACAATATAGGAGACAAGCCTCACAATACACTGAAGAAAATACCGTGAACCCGGACAATTTCTTTTTCTATAATGACCACTACAATTTAATTTTTTAATAATATTTAGAAAATATTATCTAATTATATTAAAATATTATTAAAAAGTCTTTAATAACATTAATTATATAATTAAATATTATCAAAATATTTAATATTTAATAATATTATTAAATATTTATATAATTAATGTTATTAAAGACTTTTTAATAATATTTTAATATAATTAAATAATATTTTTTAAATATTATCAAAATAGTATTTTTTGTAATATTTTAATAA